ATGCTCACAGAGGTCAGAAGAGGGCATTCGATCCCCTGGAACTGGAGTTATATACAGTTGTTAGCTGCCATGTGGGTGCTGGGAATTGAACTTGGGTTCTCTACAAGAACAGTCAGTGCTCTTAACCACTGAGCCATCTCTCTAGCCCCCCCAGTACAATATTTTAACTGGTAGTTTTAGACTGGTAGTTTTAAACTGGTAGTTTTCCCAGTGGAAAGCAGATCCTAGGAATCTTCTTGTTTGTAACTTTTTTTCTCTTTTTACGTATTGCATTTTTCACTTACATTAATTCTCACCACTCTGTGCCAGGCACTGTTTTGATAAGTTACCTATCAGTTTGTTTTGTCCTTTGCTCTACCTAGACAGAAGTTTTGGGGAGGCACAAGGAGAAGCTCTTCTGGGCTTTTGTATCCCCCAGTGCTTGGTAGCATTGGGTATTGGCAGCAGGCAGGCAGAAACAAAGGCAGGTAGTGCTCTCTAGGATTACAGCTCTCAAGCCGGCCTTGAGTAGCAAGACCCTTAGCTTTGTAAGTGTCACAGCCCTTATATAGGTTTAAGGCACTCGGACCCTTAATTTTACGAGTGTTTCACTCTTGTGTCAACCTAGGAAGTGGGGATTCCTCAGTCCCTCAGCAGTGTTAAAGCTCCCAGGCCTGCAGAGCCCTGACCCCTGTGGACTTGAGAGCCCTCTGGAACTCTTCTTGTGACCAGCACCTGCAGTTCCTCTTTGGCTCTTCATAAGCTTCCATCCTTCAGTCCCAGCTTATGACCTCTCTCTACTCCCACTGTCCTCCTTCTTCTTGCCCTGACCATTCTCTTGAGTGGTTCGGCTACCTTTTGTTGCTATGGCCACAGTCTGTCACAGTTGCTGCAGTCTAGTGGCTCCCCCCACCCCCCTTTGCAGCTGCCACTCTGCTGCTGTTGCAGCTTAGACTGTTGGCCCTTCAGCTCTGCCTTTTCTTCAGCTGTCAAGCTTATCTGGCTGCTGTACAGCTTCTGGAGCTCAGTATAGCTGCTCAGCCAGACCCCTCGCCCCTCGCCCTGTCTCTGCTGCTTCCTTTTTGTTACCAGCCTGTGCCACCAAAAGTAGGCAAGAAAACACTACTGGAGAGAAGCCTTTTCCTGAGCCTAACACTGCAAGATGAGGGAGGAAACATGGGCTGGATGTCTCCTATTCAGCTCAGCAGGCTCACAGCCTGCTTGTATAGTCAGAGAAAGGGTGTTTGCTGGAATCAGCCAAACTCTCATGCCAATGAAATTTTGTCTTTGCAGCAGAAGCTGACAGTATCCCTTTTGTACCTGTCAAAGCAGTCACTTAGCTAGGCCAACTTGGAAAATGTACCCCCTCTGGCCTAGGTAGAAATAGTTGTAGGGTCATCTAGAGTGAACTGAGGCTTGTGATATTAGAAAGTCTGATACAAAGGATTTCAAACAGTGCTGACTGGTGCTGCACAGAAGCCATAGCAAGCGGCTGTGGTCATTGTATGGTTTTCTCAAGGCTTCTCAGAAGTGTTCAAAATGGCAGATCTGCCATAGAGTTTTTCAGCTGGATATCTGACCGACAGGCTTCTTAACTCTAGGCAGCCAGGGCAGCAGGGGACAGTCCAGCAGCTGCATTTGGGGAGTCAAATTGCCACATTCCCACCATCTTTGCTTATTTATAAGCCAATACAAGTTTTTACAGTGAGACCTTTCATTAATACTGGTAGTGGTTTTAATAGTGCTTTAACAGTACTTAATACCTGTACAGCACTCCAGGAAAAGGTAAATCCCCTCATTGGTCTCAATTTTATGTTTAAAAAGTGGTTTCTAACATTTTTATGTGTTTGTATGTGGACACACATTTACCACAGTGCATGTGTGGAGGTCAGAGGATGACCTGTAGGGGTTGTTTCTCTCCTTCTACCATGTGGGTCCCAGGGATTAGACTCAGGCCCTCAGTCTTGGCAGTAAGTGTCTTTATTGGCTGAGGCATTTCACAGCCTCAATTTCATATTTATAACTCAATTTATCTGAGTAATAATCAATTCTTCTCAGTTTCTGTTTTACCCTTCTCTCTATTAATTTAATCTGTTCTCAGGCAAAAACACTTCCAATTTCATTTTACAACCTATACATTATTAATCAAATAATTTAAAAATACATCTTCAAAAATTATTGACAAAAATTGTGAGTTAAAACCTCATATCTTAGCCAGATGTGGTAGGCACACATCTTTAATCCTAGTACTCTGGAAGCAGAGGCAGGTGAATCTCTGTGAGTTTGAGGCCACCTTGGTTTACATAGTGGGTTCCAGACCAGCCAGAGCGACATAGTAAGATCCTGTCTCAACAACCAAACAAAATCTTACACCTTGACTATCATTACTCATGTGGGTTCTTTACTGAATCTGTCACCAACTTTTTTTAATGTATATTTTTATTGAATTTTTGCACATTTCATATAATAGGTTTTAATGAAATTTAAACTGCCTCCCCCATCCATACCTCCTATAGCCCCTCCCACCAGATTTCATTCATTCTGTCCTATATGTAAGAGCCTATCCAGTCAAGCTTTTGTACCCAGATGTCCTTTGGTGCAAGTTCATCCACTGGAGTCTAGTCAGCCTATCTAGAGTCTCTCCGTTAAAGAAGATCTATCCTCCCTCAGCTCGTAGTAATCAGTTGTCAACAAATCCCTGACTAAGGTTGGGACCTGCTGCCCATTTCCTCAGTTCTATGCTGGGTTTTTGTCTGATTAAGTTGGCATGGTACTTGTGCATGCTGTCATTAGTGTCACAAGTTCGTATGAGGAAGTTCCCAGAGGCCTGAAAACCTCTGTTTCCTTATGGTCATGCACCAACCCTGGTTCTTAAAATCTTCCCATCCCCTCATCCACAGTGGTCCCTGAGCCATGGGTGCGTGAGGTTTAATAAGGGAGTCCTATCCAGGGACACACACTCTGCAGTCTCTTATTCTCTAAAACTTGGCCAGTGTGGCCTTCTGTGTGTATTACACTTTGTTGTATGAAATGATACCACAAATAAATAAATCTGAAGACACTTTTCAGGAAGAATATATCAAGTGACCTATAAAAGTCTCTAAGAGATATGATTTTTAAATTCCGTGTAAGACAGTATCCAGATGCCTGGAGGCTCAGCAGGTGAAGGTGCCTGCTGCTAAGCCTGATGATCTGAGTTCAGTTACCAGGACCTACATGTTGGAAGGAGAGAAATGAGTCCTGCAAGTTGTCCTCTGACCTCTACATGTCCACAATGACTCTCACACACACACACACACACACACTAAATAAAAAAAGACACTATCATGGGATTGGAGAGGTAAAGACAGGAATCCCTTGATACTGGGGACCATCAAAGGGGAGGGGGTGTTTCATGCTGAAGCTGGAGCTGTACTTGGTTCTTGAAGTCTGAGTGTTTCTATAGACAGGGTAGAACATCTTCAGCCAAAGGAACAGAGCTTGCTGGAGAAGAAACATTGGCAACGTTAGAGAATCTTCAACAACGTGAATGTTCTGAATACATAAAATATGTGTTTAATAGGGTTTTTAGCAGAGTTGTAGAATGTTTTTCTTGTATTTGAGGTTTTAGGCACTCATAAATCTATAGTTAGAACTGAGAGCTGGGATGGATGGATGGCTGTCCAGGCAGGGCAGAGAGGTAGGCACTCCAGGAGAGACAATGACTCTCACACACACACACACACACACACTAAATAAAAAAAGACACTATCATGGGATTGGAGAGGTAAAGACAGGAATCCCTTGATACTGGGGACCATCAAAGGGGAGGGGGTGTTTCATGCTGAAGCTGGAGCTGTACTTGGTTCTTGAAGTCTGAGTGTTTCTATAGACAGGGTAGAACATCTTCAGCCAAAGGAACAGAGCTTGCTGGAGAAGAAACATTGGCAACGTTAGAGAATCTTCAACAACGTGAATGTTCTGAATACATAAAATATGTGTTTAATAGGGTTTTTAGCAGAGTTGTAGAATGTTTTTCTTGTATTTGAGGTTTTAGGCACTCATAAATCTATAGTTAGAACTGAGAGCTGGGATGGATGGATGGCTGTCCAGGCAGGGCAGAGAGGTAGGCACTCCAGGAGAGGCTTAGCTGCCTAAATCCCCGACAGTTGTGCTGGCTGTAGCCCTTCTCCTGCCCGCTGTTTAGAAGGTGAAGTGCTACTTTGTGCCTTTTTTAGACCTAAGTTAGATACACATATGTAGAAAAAAAACTTTGTATACCTCTTATGCACCATGTATTGTTCTAGAGGCTTGATTATAAAGCACCAAAATGTGAATAGGCACCCCAAAACTTAAAAAGTCATAAAAAAAATAAATGTTACTTTTCCAGAAATTCTCACCAATATTTATCTTTGTTGTCTATATTAATTTAATTACTGAATGATCA